GACCCTTGTGTGAAAAGCACAGGAAATGCAAAAGGAAGAGGCAGTTAAGAGATCGCCGAGATCCAAACAAGTTTGGGCGCCAAAAACCAAATCAACGCCTAAGGAAAAAGCATCCGAAGCTACCTTCCGGCCTTTGTCAACTCCAGATTCCACTCCTATTGCTCCCGCACTTCCGGTGAAGCTCTATGACAACGTTGATCTCCCTAAAGCTAGAGTCCCATTGAAGGATCACATCGGTTCTCTACCCGAGGATCGAGGAAAAGCGCTTGTTAAGGAAAGCTTGAGACCGTTGAAGGAGCTTCGAGCCAACATCCGGACTGGGGGTCGTACGTGACCTCCTAACAAAATGATTTCTGCAATGGCCCGCTTGCCGGTGCGCGCAGAAAATCAAGAGCCTGTTAAGGTTTCATCCTCACAAAGGTGTGATTCCAAGCATGTGACTCTTGTAGACGCCAACAAGGCGATGTTTACTCAGAGGAAAACGTGGCAAACAGAAGAATGTGTTATACCTGAGAATTTATGTAAACAGCCGATAGGTTGCTCTGACCGCAACGTCGATGAGTTGTACTATCGGGCTGGGGGTACGAATAAATCTCGAAAGAGAAGTACTCAGGAAGCGGACTCTCACTGTCCGTGTATCAAAATTATCAGGGCAGTATTATCAGTGTGTAGCTTCCCCAAGACCGCTCCACAGAGGGTCTCGATATTTGAAAGGATCTCGCCCAGAACTCCAAAGACCAAGCCAAGGCGTTTCTGTAGAAAAAGTCCAACTGTGCGAGATGATGAACTTCCAGAAGTCACAGTTAATATGGTTGATAAGGGGAAGTCAACGCGAAACTTCAAAAGTCACAGTTAATATGGTTGATAAGGGGAAGTCAACGCGAAACTTCAATCCTTGTCATCTTTCGGACATATCCCAACGTATAACTCGGTTACGGTCGATCTTTCGGACATATCCCAACGTATAACTCGGTTACGGTCGAGAACCGTTAGACAAAGGGACTATCAGAGAATGAATCAAGGATTATCCTCGGATGACGAAGTGTCAGATGCTAACTCTGCAATCGCTTCTGATAAAATGGTATCTAGCCTAGGTCAATCCCGCGAAGTGTTGATGATTAGCACAGACGAGATCACTAAAATGGTTGAGGATGCCTTGGCCAAACAAAAAGAGAACTTCAAACAGGATATAGATGAGGCCGAAAAGATGAAGGATCTCGAAAGAAAAATTAACGCTTTAATGTCTGCTCAAAAGGTAAAGAAGACCGGCATTCCGTGTCCTTACCCGAAAGAATGTGAATCGATTCCGTATCCGGCGAAGTTCAACCTGATCAACTTCACGCCGTTCGATGGGAATGGTTCCCCCACTCAGCACCTGATCTATTTCAAGTCCCATTTGGGAGTGATCTCTGGCAACGAGCCTCTGATGGTCCGGTCATTTGTTGGCACACTTCGCGGGCCCGCCTTCGATTGGTACCGTCGCCTCAAGCCCGGAAGCATCAACAGCTGGGAGGACCTGGAGAGCATGTTCCTCACGCATTTCTTCGATGATGACGCCGAAGTGTCGATCAGGACACTCTTCGATGAGAAACAAAAAGACGGAGAGTCGGTGGACTTCGCGGGCCCGCCTTCGATTAGTACCGCCGCCTCAAGCCCGGAAGCATCAACAGCTGGGAGGACCTGGAAAGCATGTTCCTCGCTCATTTCTTCGATGATGACGTCGAAGTGTCGATCAGGACACTCTTCGACGAGAAACAAAAAGACGGAGAGTCGGTGGATACCTTCATCAAACGCTTTCGCAATTAGGCAATGAACTGCAAGGATCCCGTCACGGAGGAATTCATCTTGCAAACCTGTCATAATAACTTGTCCATTAACATCTTGGACGTTATGGGAGTAGAGCCACTCAATACCTGGAGAGAGTTGAAGGCGTGCGGAGAACAGGCCGAATGATTCCTTAGAAGGAGGAAGGTTGAAAGATGCCAACCGATGACTAACCCTCCCGATGACTAACCCTCTGAATCCGAGTCTCATTTCCCATGAGGAAGGGAAGACACCTACAACAGTTGTTAACGTTAATCAGACATCGCAACAGCAGTCCCGAAGACAGCAGAATAGTTCGGATCCGAGGCTCCAAAAAGAGTACTCATTCAAGGATGAAGACGTTCCAGCCATCTTCGATACCCTTCTTGAAAACAACAAGATCAAGCTGCCACCTATCACAAATCAGGAGGAAGCTGACAATACTACAGATCCGAAGTACTACGCGTACCACAGGAGGATCCTTCATCCGACCAAGGCATGCTTTACTTTAAATAATAGCATCCAGACCTTGCTTGAAGCCGGCGTCATAACGCTGGGATAAGCCAAATGAGAACGGCGATACTCCGAAGAGTATACGAGTATAAACTGCTTCTCAATCCTCCAATCGGTATATGAGGTTAAACTGCTCCCTGATACTCTAATAGGTATATGAGTCTAAACTGTTTCCTACCGTTGACGGGAAGTTCCTGGAGAATGTTACGCTAATAGACCCAGTTCCAAGAAAGAAGCTGGGGGTGGATGATTCATGTAATGGGAAGTTCCCAGAAGAACGCTATATGTAATTTTCTTAGGGATAACCCGATAATTACGAACAAGGTGATAAACACTAAACCCCCACTATGATTTGTACTCCTACTCTCGCTGTCTACCTGGTCAAACCTTCCTATAGTTAGGACCACAACCAAAGTCCCCTCTCGATTCCTTCCATGAACGAGAGGTCCACTTTCAAATTAAATGATCAAGCCTATAAAAGGTAAGATCGTCTCAAACCTCCCACTTCCACTGCTTCCTTGGTTAAACCTATAAAAGTTAGGGCCACAACCAGATTCTCCTCTTGATTCCTTTCATAAACGAGAAGTCCACTTTCAATTGAGCAATCAAACCTATAAAAGTTAGGATTGTCTCTAACTTCACTTAGTCAAACCTGCAGATAGTTAGGACTAAGATTGAGTTATCCCTTTCGATAAACGAAAGACTTCCATCTTTTCCTTTTTCAGCCAAACCTATAAAAGTTAGGGTCGAAATCGGAATTTCTCCTCAATAAATGAGGAACTCTTTTCTTGGATCAAGCAACCAATCCTATAAAAGTTAGGGTTACTTATATCTTTTCGATTCTCGGAGTGGAGATCCCACTCCTAGTTTCATCTTTTCGGATTCTGGGGGTGGAGATCCCACTTTGAGTTTCCTTTCCAACTAAAGACAGAATATAAAATTCTTTCTCTTCGGTGCCGGGAGATAGAATATAAAATTCTTCCTCTTCCATTTTCCAATCCGTCTTTACTCTGAGAAAAGACACAATTCCCAACTTTCAATCCGTGCACTTTGTGCATGAGGAATTTTATCTCAACTCCTAAATAGAGATAAGCCTACGCCTAACATGCGTCGCCGGTTTAGTCTTTCACCGATTGAAAAAGACACCAGAGTATAATTCTGGACACTTTTATCCCGAATCCTAAGTAGGAATGAGTCAACGCCTAACACGCGTTGCCGGATGCCATATTCCCGTAAGAAATGACGAAGTCTATGTATTCAAAATCATAGCATTAAGTCTAAGAGAAGCAATTCTCTTAGCACAACATTACATGTGAGACGGGTTTTTAATAATTTACATGCTAGCCCGACTCAAACGGTAGTCGGTAAAGGCTAGTCAAACCCGTTGAAGGCTGGGGGGTTGCCAAAAATCCTAAGTCTACGTCTAACACACGTCGCCGGTTTAGTCTTTCACCGATTGAAAAAGACACCATAGTATAATTCTGGGGACTTTTATCCCGAATCCTAAATAGGGATGAGTCAACGCCTAACACGCGTTGTCGGATGCCATATTCCCGTAAGAAATGGCGAAGTCTATATATTCAAAATCATAGCATTAAGTCTAAGAGAAGCAATTCTCTTAGCATAACGTTACATGTGAGACGGGTTTTAATAATTTACATACTAGCCCGACTCAAACGGTAGTCGATAAAGGCATATCAAATCCGTTGATGACTGAGGATTTGCCAAAAATCCTAAGTCAACGTCTGATACACGTCGCTGTTTAGTCTTTTCACAGGAGAAAGACGAAGTCTACGTATTCAATATCGTATCACTAAAAGGGTTAACTCTTTTAGCTTAACGTCACATGTGGAATGGACTTAAACAATCCGCATGCTAGCCCGACTCAAACGGTAGTCGGTAAAAGCTCATCAAACCCGTTGATGGCTGAGAATTTGCCAAAAATTCTATAAATGCGAGTCATTGACGCACCGGCTCCACTAGTTGGTCTCGTGACTTGAGCATCCAACAAATTCAGGATAAGATCCACATATGCAGATGAATCAGCTTTAACAGTTGGTCCTGCAGCCCCAACATTTGGGACCGTCATGTTCCAATACCTTAAGAAATTAAACTGTGTATACTCCAGAAAACGTTTGAGTATAAACTGTGTTAACCTACGAGGTTCAAAACCCTAAGGTTAACGCCGGTCAACGCGTAACCCTAGGTCAACGCTAGTCAACGCGTTGCGACCAAAAGTCAACGTACGATGTTCGAAACCCTAGGGTCACCGCCGGTCAACGCGTAACCCTAGGTCAACGCTAGTCAACGCGTTGCGACCAAAAGTTAACGTACGACGTTCGAAACCCTAGGGTCAACGCCGGTCAACGCGTAACTCTAGGTCAATGCCAGTCAACGCGTTGCGACCAAAAGTCAACGTACGACGTTCGAAACCCTAGGGTCAACGTCAGTCAACGCGTAATCCTAGGTCAACGCCAGTCAACGCGTTGTGACCAAAAAGTCAACGTATGACGTTCGAAACCCTAGGGTCAACGCATAAACCTAGGTCAACACTGTAGGCATATAAAATTGCTTATAGGTCCCTTAGCTCAGCTCGGCACAAACCGACGAACCAACGAGGCGACGAGAAATCACCACATCGCACCGCCGAATAAAACGGAAGAATTCACTCGCGTTTCAGTAATTCACTTTCTGTCACGAATTAGAATCAACGTGTAATTGTCATCTCCATATACTGGAGAATAGACTCTCTGTATCGAATCGTTGTATCTTCATTCGAATCAAATGACTATGTTTTCGGATCTCTCTTTTTTATACTTCGATTGCGGATTTACTTGCCAATAATTTCATTTGGAATCCGTAACTTTACTGTGTCAATCATTTGTTTTATCACCATATCAGTGTAAGTTCAATCCAACGATCAACAGGACAAAACCGTAAATA